AAGGTCAGCTGAAACCGTAGACCAACACTCCTGCACGCCAGAGCGGAAAGAGCGGGCTGAGTCAGTTGTGGAATAGAAGCGCCTATTAAATGACAAACGACACACCTCACAGGTACCGCACACGCCTCCAAGAAGGAAATGAAGCCGGGGGATATAAAGGCATCTGGACACCAACCATCGTATGTAACGGCGATCAAGGCAGCCAGTTTTACGATGGTATGCATCGACGATCGAATGTGCGTGCTGCTCTCCCTCGGAAGTATCCGTGGGGACATAATAACATGTACGAGCCGTGGAGACTCCGTTCACCTTCGGGGTTTGGGACCTCTTCATTAGAAGACCATCGTCAGCCAAAGAGAAATCCTGAAGTTCTGCCGCCGCTCCCGGTATCGGGGCTGTAGCGGGCCCTACCGGGTCCCGAACGTTGGCCCTACCACCCCACTTGTTAGGTATCCGGGGGTGGGGATGAACTGAGGGATCTGAGTATAAAATTGGCAGTCGGGGAAGCCCACTGGAGAGCGGGCAGCCGCTGCCTGGATGGTCTTCCATGCTCCATGCCAAACTCCAGGACGCCTTGCGATGCTGGATGCACTGTTGCAATGACCCTCAGCTGTTTCTCAACGTCACATACGGTAATATTATGTTCAGAGGAGCCTAACCATCAAAAACCGTAGCCGCTTTGGTGTGCACCACACCGCGATCTTCAAAGATGATACTGTCGGGATACCCCAGGAGAAAGCAAGCCTGCTGAGGCTGTCCGACTCAGACTTCTGCTCCGCCGGGACATGCAGCTCGGGGGTCAACCTGTACTTCGGACGACTGGACTCGGACGACTGTTTGACCACCCAAAGCATCTGTAACTGATTCTCCTTAACCTCTGAGGATCAAAATAGAGCGGACTCTTCCGGGCCCCCCATCGGGTGCTAGTACTTGAAGAGACTATGAGGAAGAGGCTTGGGAACGTCCATGGCCACCACCCTTAGAGGTGGCTTTGTCATCCGTACGTTCGTGGCGAAACTTACATTCGCTGCCAAATCGACAGCGCGCTTCAGCCGGTGACCATCGGTGACACTCTGTAGGGCCTAGGTGTCTGAAGGGGCACCGTTCTCCCCTTGTACATTTGCCTCTCAATGAGTTCCGGCAAAGCTCGCCTTTTGAGGAGGATGTTGGCGTTGCTGATGACGCAGGTCTGGCGTAGGGTGCCCCCCGTCACCGGCTGCAGTCGGGACCATTGCTTTCGGCGGGTTGCGAGGCTTACTCGCCCTGTCAGCATCGGCCCTAGCGGCGCGAGTGAGAGCCTTGACTCGAAAGCGTGACCATGTTCCGGGATACTCATAGGAGGCCTCCTGGCAGTTCTCATCATTCAAATTACGGCGAAAGGCGCGGATGATAAGAGCGTCGTGAGCGGAGTCCCTGCGAGTGAGCAACGTCGTAGCCAGTCATCGAACCTTCCAATGTAATCAGTCAAGGGTTCTTGTGGGCCGCGCCCCGTAGGCTCAGTCAGGAACTTTTCCGCATCGAAGTGACCGCCACACTCTTCCTTCAAAGTCGAGTGGATCGCGTCCACGGCCAGTGCGAAGTCGTCAGCCGTGATAGGGTCCCTGTCGGCAATCGCCTGTTCTAAGGCCGATTCATCGATTAAGTTAGTGAGAAGAAGCTAATGCTCAGCCCTTCGTTTAAGCCAACCTCGTCGCAAGACCATACGGTGCACTTGTCTCCGAAAGCCGGAGAGACCTCGTGCGTCTGATACGCCTTCGAAGGGACCTCTCTTGAAAGCAGCCGCAGCCTTGTCAGCGCCTGTCGAGGCAACCCTGCGCATGTCTTGACTTGATGCTCCTGGGTTCGGTCTCAGGGTCACATGACTTCCACGAGCTGACCCCGAGGGACCCGTTTGGGAGGAAAGACCACTGAAGACCGCGCGAGATGGGGAGATCGAGTGTCTTCCACGCGATCTTGAGATATCGTCGTGACTCGAGGCGACTAGGGGTTGAAGCCCACCCATAAGGGGTGCTGAGAACCGTGGCGAACCGGAGACTGGCTGTTCATTACTGCTGGAGGAGGACATTTGCTTTTGCTGAACCAGTCGGGCTCCCTAGCCAGGACTGAAGGGGCTACTCTCAGAACTCTTGAGTTCCAAAAGAGAGGAAAGATTCTTGCGCCGGCAGTGGGTCGCCAAAGCCTTCGCCGAGGGGAATCCGGCGATGACCTCAGACTGAAGGACAGTATGCAACACCATCGGGGGGAGATGCTCTACCAGCTTCTCGGTGGTCTTCGGTGGTCTTCTCGGCTGGGCACCAGCCCAGCCGAAGCTATCTTGCAGGCGTCTCCGATGCGCTTTTGAACGTCGTCCGTGATCAAGTAGATAAAGCTTGCCGGCTTCAGGAATGGAGTCCACCAGAGAGACCAGAACCTGGTCGGATAGCTGATCTACGACACATTGTAGTTCCGATGGCTGGCCAGATACAATGGCCTTCTCTAAGCAGTCAAGAACGATGTCAGACAACTTGTCGAGGTCCGGGAAGGCCCCAAGGGCGTGAAGGACTTGAGCCTCGTCGGGGGCACTCTCCTCGAGAACAAAGATGTCGCGAAACATTGGGGGGTCCCCGCATCGGAGCCAGAGGTGGGATTAGTGGGATCCCCCCGTTGACTAACACTACTCGGAAGTGCCATTTGGACTCAAAATAAGAACTACTTAGTCTCATGATCTCTTATATAATGGAGAGTCTAGATCTACCACATTTTGACACTACTGCTTGGATCACTGCGGAGAACACGAGAATGATCGGCAAAGTTTCGAAAAGCGTTGACCTTGTAAGTCGGCGAAAAAGGAGGGATAATGAGTATCATCCGGTGTTGTACTTTACGGGCCTTTATGCAGCACTCATCTGACGAAGGCATATTCAAACTGTGCGATGCAGGACTCGTCGATGCAGATCCTCGATATCTCTCAAGCACTCAAGCAACCAGCAGGCAAACTCAAATTTCCGACGAAGCTCCATTCCAGTCAACACCGATTTCCATGCTCGGACTGATATACGACGGAAATGGTCACCTGCTATCTGCTTATCGTTATTACTTAGCCCTCCGACTTCGCTACCGCTTCCAGTTGTACACCATGACCAATCCCGTTTCCACGAGTTATCATCCCAATACCGCTCCCAGGAGTAGAAATGATCTCAAGAGCTATCTTGTTCTAAGAATTAATGGCTGACTGAATGCAGGCAGTAATGGTTCAGCTCCCTCCCCAAGGAACTATAGCTCCTGCAACAGCACCGTTGACTACCTTACCACTCGGATCTGTCAGAATGGCCTGCGCCGAATGGCCAGCCAGGAACGGCCTACAACGACCGAGAGTCGTCCTACGTGGACGCTTTCTTTGGAGCATTCCTCATCGAGCACAACATTCGATACAGGTTCTCCTCCGCTTTGAGTCCGCGCTGTGCAGTAAGGCACATCAGTAAACGTAGCTATATCTTATGATCCAGAGATTTACATTGGGCTAACTCGAACTGTAGGGGCTGAGGCGGTATCTCTGAGCATGATAAGACCCTTCCGACGGAGAAACAGCAGCGTTGAACCAAGAGAAAATGCTGTAGCTCTTGAGAAATTGCTTCCATAGGGTACACTCCAAATAAGATGCTCTATGACCCGCAGTAGATGACGGACAGCACTAGACGGACATGGTCGGTTGACGAACGAGTCTGCTGGTGGTTGGATCAAAGGTCGGGTAATGGCGTGGGCTCGATGCTTCGCAGATAAACGTTGAGGTAAGAACATATGGTTGGTTCTGCATGTGACATCTGAGCATCAGATGTCTACACTGCTATTGGTAAATAGAATACAAATCTCACATGACTGAATGAGATACAACTTCCTCATTTGAGTCCTTGAGAGCAAACTGTCCACAGAGCACCTCTGACACTTGGACGTGTTCCCCATTAGCGATCTTGGTAACTGGTTTTGTTCTATGAGAAACAAGCTTCATACATTCTCCACTCAAGAGACACGAGAGGAGCCAGCCCCAGAGTCGATAATGAGTTCTACATTATGATTACCGGGAGATCCGAATAATACGATTTCCGGTAGTGGCCCTGAAGAGCCATAGTTTACACAATCAGTTTCAGATTCAGTACATGGACCAACGGTGGGACAAACAGACTCAGAAGACCAACAGACTCAGTAATGTTTGACACAGCGCCTAGTGAAGATCTACCTGAGTCCACACGGTCCTGGGGATCTGATGACGATATCAGACACTCACACGGACAAAGGAGTGAAGAATCGTCAAAACTATTACGGTTGGTACCCGTAGAATCGGATCAAATATTGTGGCTTGCACTTGAACTATGATGATGAACTTGAACGATATGATGGGTTTTATCAACATTCAAAGAAGAGTTAAGTGGTACATAAACGGGCGACATGGATCACATTGCAGGCCCCATCACGCCCTCTCGGAGTTGGGGGTCAATTAGTAACTGGTCTACCCCGAGTACTCTTCGGGACGATTGCTCGGATCTTCAGACCTTGAGACGCCACCTCGGAAATCGCGGGATTGCCGTAGTGGATCAGCTTTGAGGCCTCGGCCTTGTTGTCAAGAGTAGCGAGTCCGTACCCGTGTCGAAGTTCATGGAGGCCAGCACGCACTTCTTCTCCACCAAGATCATTAAAGCTCTTGCGTATCGACTCTGGGCAGATCGCCTTATCAGTGCGGAATTACACGACCGATCACTGGCCAGTAGACCTGATCAACACGATCTGTTGCTTGTGAGCTTCTATGGTCTTGTGAAATTATTATCTTCCAGAGGACTATTGCATTCTGGTAGCCAAGTCACCTTGGTAACCTCGAACCGCTCTTCGACTCCTGCTCTCGTACCGATCTTCCACGGCAATCACTAGTGTTGCAGCGACGCCTTACATCAAAATCTCCTGTTGCGACTTTAATTACCACTAGATGTTGACGAGTGTATTCTATACAGTACGAGTGCCCCAGATATT